CCGCTTTTATCATAGTGTCTGCATGCTTCACACCACATAACTGTGGATCCATCATGTTTCAACCATGGTCGCTTCCTTTTCCACAACTCCTGGAAAGTGTATGTTTTTGGTGTCTTCTTTCCTTTGTCCTGGAAAAAAAAGAAAATTTCATAGACTTATCAACATGACTAAAACATATCCCTATTAGTTGACCTTGATATAAAATAAAAATAACTATACTGTAGAACTATAACAGGTTCAAGTTATAAGAAAAATGAGTTTCAAAGTTGCTATTAAATTGTGAAGGCTTTCTAAGATAATGAACAAATCAACTTGTAATTGATTTGTTATGAAACAAACCCTATTTTATGTTAATAAAAAATTGAAAAAAAATACATTATGCAATTTGTTGCAAACAGTCTCAGCCTAATCTCCAACCAGATAATTCTAGTCTGTGGCTACAATACAGTATCAAATTGGTAAAACAGTATTAAACAGGCAATTTTACAAAACTAGTAAAAAAAAGTACAAAAAAAGAAAGCAGGGCAAAAACGCGTAAAACACGTCAAAAATAAGCCGAAGCCTATGTATACCTCTGCTTGGAGAGCAGTATCAGCCCTGACACTGTGACAGTATCGATTTACACAAGTAACCTCCCGCCCATGGCTCCTCCGACCCATGGCTCCTCCCACCCACTGTAACTTGAAATTCGCGCCAAGCGTCGGCGCCTCCGAGTCTGGTTCACATGGCACGGGCGGCAACAATCAAAGAGCCGCGGCAAACTTTAAAACATGCCTGGCCTTTCCCACAGCGATTTTCGTAAAGTCATCTACAACTTATACATGTCATGTAATTTATAATTTTACCAAGCACATGGAAAGCTGAGTTTCATGGCTCATTAAAAACTTTACTGGCAGCAAGTCTAAACGAGTTTTTACCAAGCAAGATATAAAGCAAAAATTCACTACCTACCGTTCCTGGCGTTAGTTTTGGCTTTTTGGCAATGGTCTGCTCATCGCTATCGTCCCCAGACGAATCGTCGGACTCAGAGAATTCCACATTACCAGAGACTTCTTCCTCGGAGAAATCTTCACTATTTTGCTCGTCCGCAGTCCGCGACTCGGGTGCTGAACTTCCCGATGGGCCGGGCTGTGGCCCGCTTTCCTCGTGGGCTGTGACATCCTTCTTGCGCCATTGTTTCCCTGCGATGTTTATCAAATACTTTGCTCGGCCGTGGTGGCTTCTGGGAGAGATTGGAGTTTCCACGAACTCCCGAAGGTCACCGAAAATTGCCGACCGTCACGTACGGAGCTAGCCGGCTTCCTCCATATTTGGTAAACGGATGATGTCATTTGTCACGTGATTCATCCGCAGCTTATTTAAATACCAGGGAAAGTTGCGACACGCGACACGGAAGTGATAGGAAACGTTGTCCGCTGGCAGCGACGTAGATAGTAACCTTCTATTAATTACAAAAAATGAAGAAAAACTTCAGGGATTCTGGTTTTGTTCCCTTTCCAGTTCTTTATTGGGTATTCTACATGGATAAAGCAAACTTGCACCGCGGTGCAGGTCGGCAAAAAAATAGTTGCACGACACGAAATTTACTTGCACCAAGTTGCACACAGAGGGGTATTTCGACCCCTGATCATGAATTATTGGTAACGTTATGTTGATTAGTTACAGAGCCCAACACACTTATAAAAAAATTGGCGGTGCCCGGTGTGCTTGGCTGAAAATGCAGGCCCTACTAATTATTGAAAGAATGTTACATTTTGCCTTGGTCTGAGGGTGCATTCCTTTTTATGTACAGGAATTATTAATATTTTTAGGACTTTCATAAGTATATACCCATTAAAGGAACCCGTCTGAGAACTTAATACAAGTAAATTATCATGAGTAAAATGACTATAGATCCATAATTAAAGAATAAAAGAACCAAACATTTATACCTTCCAACACCCTTTTGGATAGCTGTTCGACCTTCCTTCCAGCTTCCTCCAACTGACCGGCATCTTCCTCCTCCTCCTCCTCATCATCATCTATGACATCATCCTCATCTGAGATGTCTTCATCCCATTCCTCATTTTCTTCTCCCGAGAATTCCTGGAGTAATTTGAAACTTTATCAGCAAACTGAGACAACATAACTCTTACACATCGTCATATTGTAGTCACTATTCAGACATACATCAGGTTTTCAATGAGCTTATGTCAAGTCATTCAACACTGCGTTCACTGCGAACTTGTTTCAAGGGCTTAAACGTAGAACAGCGTGAGCTCCTACTGCACTGCAAGTGCAATCTCATACATGCATATGCATAATTTTACAGTTCATACACTTCACCCTGGCATCGATCATTGCACAGCTGATATTTCCTATTTTCAGTGAGACTGGAAATAGATACTGAGCACACCTTGTACAGATATCATTGATGAAAAGATCTGCCTGTAATTTCGTCCGAACTGTAACATTATTTGCTCATCATTGCTTCAACAGTTTCTTCAGCCCCGGGCCCCCCTCCCCCCTTCGGAAGTTGCAGACGAACAAACGCGCACGTGTACACAGACCTTGCTTACAGCGTCGTTTCTAAAGAAATAGAAAATGGAAATGCAGATCTTCTTTGTCAATGTTTACCTCAGATATATCGCTTTCGTCCTCGCCTTGTTTGCTCATCGCTGGTATTCTCAGATTCTCACTTTTTATGAAAAAACAACACGTCGCGTCCAGTTTCACATGGTCGCGGCCATCTTGGATGTCACAATCAACCGCTGCTAAACGTAACAAAACAATGCTCTAAGTAAATGCGGATGATTCGTTAAATTTTCCTTGTCAAGAATTTTTTAGTATCAGATATATGTTTATATGATAAACATCAATTTCTTTCATGGAATTTTTAACACTTCTCAATACAATGAATGGGAAACCCTATTTTTACGTTTGGGGTCAAAGGTTTCACGGAACGCGAAGTCTCTAAGTTCAAAGTTCAGGAAGTCGATCAACAACTTACCGGGTACAACACATACAGGTCTGTGCGACCAAAGTGCGACCTTGCAGATTGAATTTCACATGCTGTTACAACATAGACAATAGATAGAGAACAGAAATGAAGAGAAAGTTGGATTGTTCAGTGGTTTTTCTAGTGATTGTGGGGATGTCATCAATAGTGGGAGGAGCTAAAGATGACAGGAAGAACATAGTCTTTGTTATCTGTGACTCAATGGTAAGTAAAACATTGTTTTTCTTTTGTATGACTTATGATATTTCATAGAGTTTCAATATTTGTAGATGTTGAAGAAACTAAATTTTAGTTTTTAAAACCATAACAGTCTCTCTCTTCAGATGGTGATGTATAACATTAATGTTTTTATGGGTTAATAATGGCTATTATCATATAGCCGGACGGCGTGGACCAATCAGAGGCCCGGATACCCGTGCTGTTATTTCCCGATAACAGCACATGTGGTGTTATGGCGGAATAACAGCACATGTCGTGTTATGGCTGATACCATTATGTTATAGGGTATAGGGGCATGCGACTCTTTCTGTAAACCTTTGTAGCATTTTTCTGTCCAATAAACTTTTTTGTTTAGCTTCATTTAAACTACAATTTGCATTAAATGAAATTATCCATATTTGTTTTAAAGCGTATAATATATTCGAATGTATTTTTATGTATGTATATATATTAAAGCTGTTGTATTTCAAACAGGAATTGTGTTGATTGACAGTTTGGATAGGCTATATGATAATAATTTTAATGCACTGCCTTTTCCTCGTTGTATATGGTGTCATAACTGCATGGGCAGCTGCCATAACCACCTCATAAACCACCTCGTTCGCTTCGCTCACACGGTGGTTTATTCGGTGGTTATGGCAGCTGCCCATGCAGTTATGACACCATATACAACTCGGGGCAGTGCATTAACCCTTTATTATCATATAGCCGGGTGACGTTGACCAATCAGAAGGCTCCATTCCACATTCCTTATGACGCCGTAATGCACAAATAGAGTCAAAATCGGGTATTTATTCATCCCAATCCATACATTAATCACTCCATGAAGTCACTCTATGTAGTTTTTTGACAATACAAAAAGTATATTTTTTATTCTTTTCTTTACATAGTACATTGGCTTAACCCATTAGTATTCCAAAATTATACTCCACAGCAAAAAATACAACATCCTTGCTCCTTAGAAGCTTAGAAAACTGTGAATGATCTTCTATTCAACCTCTGGCCAAACCACACATATGGTCCACTCCCAGTGGTTTGACCTACATCCCAGTGGGGTGTCAGTTGATAGCTTACCAGTTTCTGAAATACCTAATCGTTTACCAGAGTTTTTATCTCTTTTGAAGGGATAATGACCACAGTTTATTCATGCACAACAAAATACTCTAAGTTGATAATTATATTCCACCTCATGTGAAAGATATGAGTTTTTTCTAAGGAGGGTATATCTTGTGACATGTGCCCCTGTCTATCAAGCCTGGCATGCCCGGGCCAATTAGCCACCCCAGGGGGCAACCCCTGTATGTTGTTGTTGTTGTTCTGAGCAAACCGGTGGCACCGGGAACTGAAGAAGGACTGTTTGAACGGACAAAATATACGAAAAAAATGTGAAATAATGACACAAATGTGTTGAAAAGTGATAGTAACTGCTAATAACACCGAAATTTAGTATAATTAGAATATTTCAATTTTTTGCGCAAAAAACTACATAGAGTGCCTTTAAACAAACCCAGTAATCACCCGCATATGACCTCAGGTGACCCATATGGAACAACCGCTGTGTTCTAAAAAATCCAAAAATAACTTGAGTTATGTTCCAAAGGAATACATGTTCCTTGCTGATGACCCAGATAGAACATGACCCCTTGCCGATGTTCCGGTGAACTCATATGAACCCAGTGGAACAGGTAAAACGATCACGCTGTAAGGGCATACAATGGACAACGCGATGTCAGAATTTTTCTTTGAAGAACTGACTGACGCCAATTTAGACTCAATATGCCGGGTCCTTTGGAGTAGGGGAAAGGATGCACAGGTACAGTGGCTAGCGGACGGG